TAAGGTTGGAAAGGACCACAGTGGGTCCCTGCTCAAGCAGGATGAAAAGAATAAAACAGAGCAACCTAGGAAAAAAGCAGGAGAAACCAGAGCTCTTCTAGTGGTCGTGGAACTACAATTTCCTTTGACTAACAGAGATGTGCTAGGGAGAGGTGCTGATGCTTCTAAGAATTTCTGTCTTAATAGACTGATGTCTGGGTTTGAGGATGTGTAGCCAGTGACAGCAGAGTGGAAGGATATGTGAAAGCCAGAAAGATGAAAAGAATCACAGTTGTCAACAAGTTAGGTTTACACACACACACACATCTGAATTTGATTGATTATTCACTGCTTTTGAACAAATTACTAACTGCTCCATGCTGTCAGCCTTTCTTTCCATTAGCTAAAGTCTTATTTTTCATTGTCTTCTACTGGCCTAAAGGTGGGTGTTCTCCTGTATTTTTCAACTATCTGCCAACACTTCATAAATGATTCAAAATTCTACAAACACCATGATTCAGAGTGAGAGGAATGTTAACAAGCTTCAGCAATCTTGTTCAGAACTAAGTACATGGGACTGAGACTAAAGTGGAGAAATTTTGCAGCTGCTAAGAATCCACAGATAAAGAAATACAAAGTCTGGGACAGCATATTATAGAGTGTTTAAAGTTTTCCCTGCCATTCTATCCTTGGAGGGTGTCATTGTTCTGAAACCAAGAATCCAGGAATAAGATTTTAATGTTTTAACTACAAGCCAGGCTAGAGCACAAGGCCCTAAATTCAGACCTGCCTGAAGTAGAACACACTATGAACACATTCAATGACACATTCATCATTCAGAAATCTTTTGAGTTACTACAGCAAGCCACACCTGTCTGTCTGCCAAGCAACATTTCTGGTCATTGCTATCCCCAAAACTGAAATAAAACATGTACATGCACATTGAAGAAGGCATCACTGATTAATACTGAATTATTGCAATCCATGACCAATGAAGTTATCTTATTAGGATGCTTTTAAAGTATTAAACTACTGAAAGTCAACCCTCAAAATACACTACTTGGATAATCAACACAATCCCGTGGATGAATATATATGAAGCTACTGCTGCTGTTCATTAGCTGATCTCTAATGAAATTATATGGAGATCTTTCAATTATTCAAATGTGCTATTTCAGTCATAGGCTTTCACACAAAATCTGTTTTAAGGTGTATCACTTACCTGGTAGACATGGAATGCATTAGCAGCTTTTCCACGCAGAAAGACTGAGGGAATCCAAACATTAATAAGAGCACGATTTGATCTGGGGAGAAGAGAGAAAAAACTTCAAATAGGGAATCATATTTATATATTAGAATTGCAAAGCAACTACACCTAATGATTTAGATAATGATCAAAGTGATCAACAAAGCAGCCTAACATTTCAAATGAAGCATCAGAAATATTGGCGTTCTGCCTGAACTTTTTATAAATGTTGTATCTAAGTGTGCCCTAAAATCAACCCAACTGAAACAGCTCTGAAACAATCTCTTCTGCAGGTTTTGTGGGTTTCATTTCTTTTTTCACAGCAGGCACATGACAGCATTTGATGATATGCATGAAACAAAAATTATTCATTCCAACATATTAACATTTTGGTCCACAAAACTTAGCTAAAGTTCATTAAATAACAGAGAAGAATTGCACAACTGTGGAGAAACCATTTCCATCCAACTCTTGGCAATTTATCTCCAAATTTCTATGATTCAAACACATCATCTACATTTTCACCCCCTCATCCACAAAATGATAAGATTCATTAACTTGACTAATAAAGCTAAAATCCCAAATCACAACACTCTAGAAAGATCTGAGATGACCAACTAAGTTGTTTGTGGGGTGGGTGAGTGGGGTTTTTTTGTAGTACTCTTTGTCAGCACTGACTAGGAGTTAATTCTGCAAAAATGAAAAAATCCATCACATGATGAATATAGAATCATAGAATCAACCAGGTTGAAAAAGTCCTCCAAGATCATCAAGTCCAACCCTATCAACCAACATCCATCAAACCCAAAGCAATCAAGCCAGTAACTTGTTGGTGCTTTGATAGAACGCCAAGACCAAGTGCACTTCAAAAGCAATCCAAAAGAATCTTCCTCAATCTCAACTCCTTGCATTTAATATTACTAAAAACCACACTAGGGCATGGACTGTGCAGCTCTCCATACCTTTTAACGATGAAACACCATAGCTAAGAATTCAATTATTGGAAATAACATAGGAAAAGCAAATTATTGCATCTGTTTGCTAATTGTTCTTCCCCTTAAAGACAATATGAAGAGAAAAATTTGTGCATTATGAAACTCACATTTCAAAATCTGACAAACTCTGATCTTCAGATGTCTGACTCAAATCTCCAGGGACCTATATTTACAAAACACAAATAATTCATACACACTGATTATTATGGTTTTTATTAAGAAAGCATAATCTTCTAAGGAAGTTACAATTCAACATTAATTTTACAAATGCCAATAAAAACTGTTAATGAGAAACAATAAAAGAGAAACAAACTGGTGAACAGGATTGTGAACACATCACCCTTGTGAGTTCTTCATGTTAGACTTTGCTATAGTTTTGTAAAGAAACAAGTTGGGGTCTGTAAAAGCAGGTAATTTTGAAAGGTAGAGAAAACCCAGGAAAAAGCATCATTATTAGGCTTTCATAAGCAAAGGATGCTGAAACAAGTACATTCTGTGTACACATAATTTATGAGAAGATAAAAGCATATAAAACCTTGTGATCACTTTCTTTTAAACCAATATTCCATTAAGGGAAGGACACATGATCATTTTATTTTAGCTGTGCTCTTACAAAACATTATATAGCTACAAAAGTTCATAAAGATGGCAATGATGGACTAACACCTGCAGGATCAAAAGTAGCATTTGTGAGAAAACAAGACTGAGAAAGCATTTAGAACTGAACCAAGCAGTAGCTTTTTGCCTTACATTAAAGCTAGTTAAACATAAAAGGATATCTTCTTTCCTTTAAATACTGCAAATGTAAAGCCTACCCAGAATAGTTAGTGCATTTTCATGAAGAAAAACAGCTAAAAGTTGTGATCTTCCAGAGACATCATCTACATTAATTAAATATTGGTTCACTGTATCTCTATAATGTATGTTAATGTACATTACTCTTTTTCAGAATATTCATTGCCTAAGAAACTAAAATATCTGTTACTGCTTGCTGTAAAGCAATATATATTTATTACTGCATAGCAATATGAAATTTCAAAGGGCACTGCAGAACACCTACTTCCCAGATGTTTAGACAAACCAGCTCAAGACCTCCCAGGACATAAGACAAAACTAATTTTGCCTTCCTGAGATTAAAGGGATATGGCTCAGCAACCGCAAAACCTAAGCTATTCCTAGCAGAGGAAAGAAAAGAGGAAAGGAATTGTGCCGAGCCAAGACAGTGCCAGGGCATGAATAGAGAATCCTGAACAACTCCACTGACTTTGTTTGGAGGAATGAGGAGAGAAGGGTTGGTATGACCTCTCTCTCAAGTACCACCATCAGCTGTTACCTGCTCACAGTCTAGTCCACCCTCCAGTGGCAGACCCAGCCTGGTTTCCAGGGCTCTTGTGCCAGAACACAGACATTTTTCCATCTTGCCTACACTCTCACTTTGCCTATATTTGAAGTAGCAATTCCCACCACCAGACACACAGTTATTTCAATTAACTTCAGTTTTGCATAAAGCCCTCAAAAAACAGAGTGTGGACTTTGGAAATAGCAGAATGATGATGCTAATGAGTTCCAGTGCTTGCACATCTATGTGGCAACAGATTGGTTACTGATTTTGAGATGGAAATGGAAGTGTTGCTCATTGTAATGAAAAGTGCAGTGATGGAGGCATTACAGCAATGCACTTCCTCATACCCTTGAAAGCACATATTTTTTATTTTATTATTACTCTGTTTGTTGCAAACATTCCGAAACCTAATAGATAGAAATTTGGAAAGATCATTGTAAACAATCAATTTATAAATTGCAGCCATTAAAGTAATCAGCATTACAAGGAAAAGAGAAGACAGTAAAGAACCATGAAAGCTATTTTTATAACAAACTGAACTTATATACTATTTCAATAACAAAATGTTAAGAACCTGCCTGGTATTTTCAAACAAGTCGAAAGGGATGAAATATTTATATCCCACACTTTCTGGCAGTTACTTGACCAACTTTGAAAGTTCTAATTAAAGTCTACTAAGTAACAGAGACTATTAGCAAAGAGTTTTGTTTACTAATCTAGAATTAAAATGTAACTACCTCTGAAAATAATGCAAAAGTCTTTAGGACTTCATTCAATTCACAGGTTCATTTTGAACACTAGCAATAAATAACAACTAACATTTAGCTAGTCCTTAAAAATATAGTACCATTTCCACTTCTTACAATGGTTCAGCAATTAGTTTTCTCTCACTATCTATTAAAATATAGTACCAAAATCTAACTACTGAATTAGGATATGGAGATACTTGGCTAAAACCAAAATCTCTGAACAAGAACATACAGCCTAAAATCTCCAACTGAAGAAGTACAGCTGTAATATGCATATGATGTATCATTTGTCATCTCTCAAAATAATAATGTGATTGTCTCCATTTAAAAGAGTGGGAATTATGGGTCAAATCCTACTACAGCAATACACAAAGAACTGTCATCACCCACCTCACATAAATGTTATGACAAAACAGGCATGAATGCTTCCAGGGCAAGCAAAAAGGTAAGGAGCAATACCACATAATCATATGAACAAAAGCTATCAAAATATGCCTCCCTCAGAACATGGACAACTATTAGGAACAGTCTTGACTCCTCCTGGTTTTTTCTCTGTTCGTTTTCTAACTTCAACACAATCTTTTAACACAAAAAGCCAAAGAGAAGCAATAGCTGGTAGAAAACAATTTTATGGTCTGAATATATCTATTTTAAATTCTGCTAAAGAGAATCAAACAGTATCAAAAATACCAATTCAGGTGTTTTTGACAGGTCTGTTATTTCTAAGCTATTATATATTTTAGCACGAGTAACATGTCTGAGCTCACTCCAGAGTCATGTTGTGCACTGCAATAAACAAACACTCACCGGCCCTCGCAGATCTATCAGCTCTTGTCTCATCTGGGACACAAGAGCTTCCTTAGCCATCAGAGCACGATGTAACCTCTCATTGAATTCAATCAGCTCCCCATGCATTTCAGCTACCTGAAAAACAAAGCCAAGAGATAATTGTATTCTAAACTGAAAAAAAAAAACCCAAAACACTATGTAATTTCTTATATGCATACCAAATTTTATTTATATTTGTTTCCATTTTACCATACTCTCCCAGTAGTGCATCTCATTGCTGGTGGATTAGTTTGATTTGACCATTAAGAAGAGACATTGTTATAATTTTGACTCATGCCCTGAAATGTAGTTTTGATATTTAATTCAATAGGACAAAATACAACTCCTATGTCAAATTTTATTCCTATCAGAGGAGGTCATAGGACAACTGATTCTAATAAAACATCCATACACTTTTGCTCTATGTTTAATTCTTCAATGAACACAGCTCTCAAAAGGTACAAACCATCATGAAATTTTGAACGGGGAGCAAATTCTATGAATTTCATGCTTTCCTTTTCTTGAATCATTCTGCCTTCTCCCTCTTCCCCAAGGGAAGTTCCCCAAAATAAGCAGTTGAGTTCAGTCTAATTTAGTGTCTGCTTTTAATTTGGTGCTTTGTCCCACAAAAACCTGTATCCTTCACATAACCAAAGCAAACAGAAGATCCAGCTTTATTTTGACAAGCCAGGATCTGACAGCAGTGATTAAAAATAAAAAATAAAAATAACTTTCCTGATGTGAACTTCCAATATTCTTTTCCAATTTCTTTTTATACTATAGTCCTTCAAATCATTCATCAGTGTAACATATAGGCAAAAAAAAAAAGAGCTAAGCTAAGCCAACTTTATACTAGAGAAAACAGTAATATAATGCCATTAACTCTAGATAAAATATTGTACATAGTAGATTAACCACTAATTCCAATTTAAAGTGAGTGGTGTAACATTTAAGAATACCATAAATCTCTGTCTGATTCAGGTTAATAACAGGTCACTGTTAGTTACACAGAGCCTGGTCTGGGGGCAAAGCTTCCTTGCATTTCACATACAAAAAGACAGAACATGTTACTAGTTGCAAATGCACAGAGAAAAACCATAATACTGATAGCTGCTTGGCTGCTTATCAAAAGCAATATACAAATTTATGAGTGGATACAAAACTCAGTAGTTTACATAATGGAAATCATGTTTGATTTTTCAGTGCCTATCTCGAGCACAAGGACAAAATCCAGACTATCTGATATATTATGTGACTATTCTCTCTCCCTCTAATTTGGATGTCCTTGAAATAACTTTCTACTTGCAGACTCGATTAATATGTAAATTCAACAACACTCTCAAAGCACTAGAAGTAAGACAAAAATTTATAAGTGTCCCCAGCTAAGTTAAATAATAAAAAGGAAATTTAATAGCAAATAAAACAGCAAATCACTTGTTATATGTTATCAAAAGGACAAATTGGCAGGTATCACTTGTTAGTAATTGAAGGGTTTTTAAGTACTTTCTGTCAAAGAAAAATGCATAACCATCACAGCAGACCAAAAGGAGAGATGAGGTTCACTTCTGAATAACAATATTAATTGAGTTTCCTTTAATTTTTCCTGCATCAAAGTCTGCTAAAAACAATAAAGAGCTCTCCTTATAATTATATCCTTTCAGTTACATTTCATGTCATCACACCTTCCTTTATTCAATCCACACTGAAGCTTAAGAAATAAATTTCCCTACTGGGACTTCAATCATCTTCACAGTTGTTTTTCTCTGTAACAATATGTTTGAAGCAAAAAATTAAAGCACAAATAAACTAAGCCTCCCTTGGAGAGATGATCATTGAGACTTGGTCCTGGCCATATCAGAAAGGATATTTAGAGAGCCCAAATCCTTATCACAAGGGGAAAGTGAGACTAACATCAAATAGCTAAGACTCCACACGAACAGAACTCCAAAGACCTGTTGGCAAAAGAAAATCTAAGTCTTCTCCTGCAGTCTGAGAGCACTGCAGCTCTACTGCCCAGCATGGCCAGAGAAATGACCAAGGTAAATAGCACTTCATGTTTCACAGCCCAGGACTAAGCTGTTAACTTAAAACATGCTAGAACATTTCACTAAGCATATGAATAATACAATCTATCTTGGAAGGGCACACAGAATAGAGAAACAGACATGTAAGAACTTGCAACAATAAAAAATAACATTTTTTAAAGGGTGTTTTAGTGGAACACAAGATTTTTTTCTTAGATAATTTGCAGCTAAAATTCATGCAAGCTTTTGTACAAGGTGCATCTGAATCAATGACATTTTGTCAGGTATAGGCACTTTTTCCCCCAATAGTCACAAAATACAAACCAACATATTTTCCAAGGCACTCTAGATAGAACCAGAAGTTGTTTCCTTTTGCTCTTAGTGGAGGCATGGGTGTATTTTTCCAACGAGAAGATTTCATTTTCAAAAAAATCAAGGTTCTTCTACATTTTTTCCCCAAAAGAAACAAAGCCAAAGGTCTTCAAAATAGAGCAGGTATCCTACTAACTACTAATACTTCCATTTTTCTAGAAGTGAAAACCAGTAAAACTCACAATGGCAGAGATGGTTCCAACCAATCTATTGATATAGCCATAAAATGCTCAACCATTGACTTTTGTTTCAAAATGTCCATTTTGTATTCTTGATACTTCCATATACAAACAAATTATTTGGTTCAAGGCAGACTGAAAGACCCTTTAAGAACAGGGTTGGTGTTGAGTTGTTTTGATTTGGGTTTTGGGGTTTTATTTTGTTCTATGGTGTGAATTTCTGTTTATAGATTTTTTCCAACAGCTACATAAAGTGAGGACAAGTCATGTTTCATCAGAACCAACACATAGAAAATAGGCTGTAGCTTTCCACTCACAATACATTGGGAACTGCATGTTAAATAAGCTACTTATCATTCGCAATTCTTTGGACATACAACAAAATCTTTTTAAGAACCACAAAAAAAAGCCAAACCTCGCTGGCCAGATGAAATTACATCTCACTGTAACAGTTTACCTGGTGAAAGCAACAGAAGGGCTTGTAATCCTACAGAAAACTGCTGACCAACTTGCTAATTTAAAACCTGTTTTCTACACTGACTTCCAATAGAATAACAAGGCTGCATGCCATGCTAAGACCTCTAAAAAAAAGGATTGTTACAGGGGTTACAACCTATTTGGACTATGTGAAGATATTGTTACAGACTAATAAGTGAAACTCAGATTCAGACTTAGTCTTCTGAATGTGATTTCCAGCAAAGGCTTTCCATGGTTACATCCACAGCTGTGCCACCAGTGCCACCACTGACACTGTCTGCCACAGGCTCAGAAGTGTTAGCAACAGATTCCTGAGCACACAGAACAAACTTGGCAGAACTAAGGTGGATGCTTTCAAAGCTGAAAGAGATTTTACCTGTGTCCTTAATTAAGACACATTTTTGATAGGTACAGAACAGAGGAAAGGAGTCAGAAGAACTCAAGCAAAGATTAGGGAGAGAATTAGTTTCACATGGTCCTGTGAGAAAAGGATAACCAAGTATGAATGTGTTAGAGGAACTGTATTAATCTCTTTGATGCATGACCTGCATTTTTAGCCATCTTCATGTTAATCCGTTAACATGAGTATCCAATTTCAGAGTATTTTGGGCAAGAGAAAGACACAGAATTGTTTTACTTTTTATAAAAATGTTCTTTTAATATTTAATAGGAGATGTGGGTATTAGATATTAAATTTCATTACTTTTGTCTTGAAAATCATTTCTATTTAAATTTCGGATGAAACCCTAATCTATCTTTTCTTATTTTTTCTTTAATGAATTTTACATTAGTCTTAAAAGTAAATCTTGCATTAAGAACTTTTCCTAACATGGCCATACCAACAGAATTAGTAGCTTCCATCATGCATTTCTGTGCTGCAGTTTCCAGGAAGCTAAGTGGTAAAGCAATACAAAAATGAAACATGGTTTGGCAATCAGAAAACAGCATGAAAGCACAGAAAAAGCTACAGATTTCAGCATGTCTTCATTTTAGAGCTCAACTACCAACACAGCAATGCCTGCAATTATCTACTGTACTTCATAAAACTTATTGTCTGTGATGCTTTCCACTTTACCACCATCAGTTACAACCTTAAAGAACTTGTTTATTTATCAAAACCATCACTTAAACATCAAAGTATAAAAGTCTACTCCTGTTAGGAAACACACTTTTAATTATCTCAATTGCTTAAAATATGCTTTGATGTTGAATGAACAAATTTGTACTTTAACCACAGAAGCATGAAAATTAAACCTTTCATTTTTTATTTTTGAAGAAAAAGCAATCAGACTTATCTTTTACACCACTAGGAAAAAAATAACAACTAAGCAAAAGATTATTTAAGCTTCAAATATGATATTCCAATTACCATTCCATAAAATTTGTGCAGTACAAACTTTACCTCAATCAATTTTCTTTCATAGGAGCTGGCTAGTTCCTCATTGTTTTCTACTTGCTTTTGCTCTGGAATTGTAAATTCACCATCAGTGCTCCAAGGGTTTGGCAGAACTAAAACAAAGAGATACCTCAAATCAAAATGTTAAACTCCATAAACATCTAGGACATCCTGTTTAGAAGCAACAGCTCTGTAAGAACCAGTTATTAAAACTATCAAAATATGATGCAATATTAAACAGTAGTGTAAGTACTAACATACCAAGTCTGAAGGGAGCTGTTTTGTCAGCAATATTCAGACTGGCACTCTTAATAAAAAAATGTAAACCAAAAGCATTTAGCTGTTCTGTAACTAGAGTTGTCTCATATATGTAGGTAGTAACTGCCATTCCTGCCCAAAGCCTTTTAAAATTAAGTCTGTTTCTCTTTTGCACCTTTTTTTCTACTTGCCTTACAAAACATCATTTCATATTACTTGCACATCCTGCTTTCATGTCATAGCAGTTACAGCAAACAGGGCTGAGAATGGACATCCCATACTTCATCCAGCATTTTGTTTCTGCATAAAGCAGAATCAGGTGTAGTTATTCCATTCCTAACAGTTCATTGTCTAATTTATTCCTCAAAACCTCCAATAATGGAGATCTCATGCTTCCCTGCACAACCTATTTAAATGTAACTATTCTTTTCAGAAAGGTTTTCTTGAGAGCTAATCAAACTTCCTTCACCTGCCATGTGAGCCCATTACTACTTCTTTTATCTGCAGGGAATGAAAACTACAGTTTATTCTATTCCTGTTCCTATCCATCATTTAGGTATTTGATGATCCCTTTAAGGCCTAAACTAAGTAAATCTCCAACAAGTTACACAAAGTCCAATTCAACTTTTCCTCATAGATCATGAACTAAGAAAACAAGTTAGCACATAAAAGTAAATGAGTTTAACAAATGCTTTCACCATTTTCATATACAGCCACTGTAAGGCAGAAAGAAGACACCATAATTCATCTGACAAAATGCCCTTGAGCCTGGGAACTGAGCTTTGCTTTGATGAAGAATAGATACGTTCAGAAGTTTATTATTATTTAAGGGAATTTTTAAGCCATTTTATGATCTTTTTCTTGCAAATGTTGCTTGAACTTCTTCAGCCAGAAACTTCCAAGATCAGCATTTTTTTATAAATAATATTCTATCTAAGCAGGTTTCAAAAATGGTACACATCCAACTCCTGCTGAGGGCTGAGAAATCAAGATGCTCATCGATTAAATATTTAAATACCAATACCAAACTGCTCAGTCTGTGGCAGTGATCACTCATTTTGAAAGCTGAGATGATATTCTGAACCCAACACAGTTCTGACTCTCAGGCAATTTATTTATAATCACATTTGCTGAGTGGGTTTTTTAGGCTTTTTTAAGTCACCACAAGGCAAAGTATTACGCTGAGTTTCAGTTATTATTTTAGGAAAACATTTAAAAGCCACACTCAATAGCATTTGATCTGATTATTGTGGCAAACATGTACAGGCTTTCTATTTATAGTGGTAAAAATAGCAGAAGCTCAATTTAGTTTGATTCTTTCAAAACAGTTTCACAGTAAATCTAAAATCTACAATGCATTTAAGACTTTTGTTTTGATACCATTTGGAAGAAGATTAATTATCATTAAAATGACTCATTCTGTACACAAACCACAGGTGCAATAGTTTTTCTAGATCTGGTAAAAGAAAAAACTTCTTTTGTTTCTCTGGTTTTTTGCAGTTAGTTCTCAGGGATTATTTATATACTGAAATACTTTTTTTGAGTCACAGCCCTAGTACCACTAAAATGTCACCCAAATCTTCAATGTCAGCTAAGAAAACATTTTGATTTTATAAAAACACAATGTGTGAAGTTGGAATATAAGAAAAACTATGACAAACAGTGCATGTAGCTGAAACTTATTCTGATCAGTAATGATAAATACTACAGAAATTACTGTGGCTTGATTAAATATCCTCTATGTACAAAGTATACACGTGTTCATTTTTAGAAATGTTGGTGCTGTTCCATCCCCTTTTCCAACTCTAAAATCTGACCATCCTACTCAGTTCCTATTCTTATCACTCACTGATTTGCATAATTTTAACATGGTGGAATATAGCTAGCCTAGGAATATTTTTTTTCTTTTCCTATAATTACACTCATCATGGAAACTGTCACTATCTAATGAAGGATAATTTCTGCTATTCTAAGAAGCTTAAGCAATGGTTTTCGTGAATAATTCTTAATATGAATCACTACACTCCAGCAAAATCGGAAGTAAAAACATGTGTTCTCACTAACAAATATCCTTTTAAGGATGAATGAAGTTCTTAAACTACTGATAAGTACAGTGACTAGCCCTTAAAAGCAGTAGTGTTCATTCATGCAACCACTGATATAACACAGTGTTCACAATTAAAGAAAAAAATGAGGCAGACGACACCAATTTCTGGAAAGGCATCTCATGTCTCCAAACACCTTCTGCAGCCAGTGGAAATACAGGTGTCACCAGAAGAGATTTCAAAATCAAGGCTCCAGATCATCCTGTCATGGACACTGACCCAAACCACTGAAGAAAACCAGGTAAGCTAACTCGTTATCCTTCAGATATAAAATCTGCTCATTACTACCCAATACAGAGTCTATTTCCAACACTCTGAAAGTACTGATCTCTGAAACAACAGTATAATCTAGGGATGCTAAACTTTCCCTCCTCAAAGTAATTCTTTTTATGTTCTAATATCACATTAATTGTCAGATTATTTTTTAAACTAACGTTTTGGCTTTTTCTGGAAAGTTTCTTAATGAAAAAAGTAAGATCACCTCACCTACCCAAAAATGCTCTGCAAAAAGAAGCACAAAAATCTGCATCAGTATTTTTCTCAAAAGGAAAAGATATCAAATATGTTATTTCCATTACTGGGAGATATTACCTTAGCATATTTTGAAAAGATGAATAGGGCTTATAATTATCTCTTGCTAACCTCACTTTCATGCAAATGATTTCATTTGTTTTGGTGAAGACTCAGCAAGGAAAGCAGAGACTTCTCCATTGTTTCTACTCAGCAGTAATTTGGTCGTTTGCCATCCCATAACATCCTTTTTGTCTGATAACAATATGCATTACAAAACTCTTCACACAACAGCAAATAGCCCAGTCAGAGAGATGCATCAGGGACAGTTCTCATACAAACAGAACTGTCATTTTTTCAGATGATATTTTCCAGGAGGGGAGAGCTGATGTCATCCTGGGCAGCACATGGAACAATGAACCATGTCCCCATCCACACTAGGATTGTTTTGTGTGGCTGAAGTGTGGCTAAGGGTCAGGGCTCACACAGGACTGGGTGGTCAGTTATCTACAAAGAGCCATTCCAAGATCAATTAAAAAAAAAAAAAAAAAAAAAATTATAAACCACATTCATGCCTGTTCACTGCTTGCTCTTTCATTGTTGGTTTCTGTACGAGTCCAGGAGTCACTTCCACCATCTAGTCACTATTCCTATGCCTCCTATATACTCTCTCTTCCTGGTAAGATACAGAAAAACAAACCCTGTGCAGGGATTTTTTTTTTTTTCCCCTTCATTTTATCCTTACCTTCCACTGTTTGACCTTCTCTTCTGAGCATCTGGACAGCTCCTACATACTTCTTAAGCTGCACTTTTAGCACCTCATTTTCTCTATTGATAAAAAGAACAGAATAAATAAGTATTGTTGTTTTCTCAAAACAGATGAAAACCTTTTTCAATGGAAACAAATATACTGTTATAATAACCTTTACCTAAGTTGTGCCACCAAGATAAAAAAGAAATCAAAAAAGAACCTAAAGACTTATACATTAAATAATACATCAACAGCAGAGTACCAGGAAAACCATTTTTCCAGGACCACATAAACACCCATCAGTGAATCCAATTATATCATGACCACAAACTTTTCATTTCAAAATTCGTATCTTCTATATTGTGCTGTATTGATGGCAAACAAATGATACAATCTAACTATATCAACAGTTGATTAAAAAATAAGGATGGGATACAAGAAAAGGAAATTCAGATTGGCCAATATAGAATTAGATATTAATTTTACTCATTGTCTGACTGTTTAATATCAAGCAAATAGGAACTCAGCTTTAGAACCAGGCTTTATCATCTCAAGAAAATGCCAGCACTTCAGGTAAAAGTTTTCCACAAACCATTCCTAATGAAAACCATAAGACAAGAAATTTAGGTAATCCCTTCAACTGTCATATTTCCATGTTTCATTTTTCATTGGAAATTGCAAGTATTCAAACCAGGTAATATTGTAGCTCCACTTAACAACATTAAGCACCTTAGTTTATATTGGGGGGGGGGGGATAAAAAGGATTCTAACTGATTAAATTTAAACAAAGCTGCCAAATTTCATGTCTGAAAATTCAATTATCTGACTAAGCCCATTAGGTTAAGCAAGGATGACAGAAGTGTTGATACAGGAAACATAAGGAAAATGTGTTGCAAGACAGTGAATCCAAACAACTTTTATTCTTCTTCAAGAAATACATAGGCGTGTGACATCCCACCCCTAAGGGTACGACAAATGCAGCACATCCACACACAAGAAACCTGTGAGTGATTAGGGTAGGAAGGCAGGAAAGCCAGAGCCATGCCAGGAACATGCTCTAGGCAGGATGAAACCCCACACGTGTAACAGCTTACAGAAACCTGCAACCAGATGATGCACAAAACAGTACTTTGATGGTCCTTATCACATTATATATACACACACACAAAAACCATAAACATATTATGCACACAAATACACTGCTGTTGTAAGCAATGCCATATTGCTCATCTAAGAATCCCTGACTGGTACTATATTCATATTTTTATGGATTTCAAAACAGCTTTCTGAACTATGTAACCTCAATTTTATTCAGTCCTTTAGTAGGAGGTTGCTAAATAATTGAGAAGCTATTGATTACTCAACTATCAAACTTTAACACAGTCCTTGATAGCTTTAAGCATTTAATAGTATTTTTCATTTCCTAGACTACAAAGAACAAATCAGTTCTTCCACCAGAGATGGACACTGACCTTCAGGTTAAGGAAAGAAAAATCAGAAACAGAGTATAATTCTATACACTACAGTAAAACAAACCTTAAATAATTCATTCATGAAAAAAATGACATGACAGCTAGACAAAAAGGTTTCTCACCAGAATTGTAAAAATGTCTGCATGGAAATAACTGTATATAGTTACAACATATTGAGTTTTAAGGATTCTCATGAAATAATCATTTCTACATATGCGAATGGACTCTGTCTGTACTGAGACAGCATTAAAAAAATCCATTTTTTGCTGTTGTGCCTATTGACTTGCAATTGATACAGCACAGATGAAGTTCAGACAGACTTTAACTCACTTAAGGTTTTTGACACAAGACTAAAATTCAAAGCAGGATCCTATGGCTCAGTCACAATTTTTTAATATGCCTCTTTATCAGGTTATTACTCCTCATTCTTCAACATCTCTCTCTCATTACTACTATTTAGCTCAATTCCAAAGAGGACACATCTTGATATATATAAATTTATGTAAGCCTTTTAATCAGAGCACTTTAAAAAGAAAATAGCAAGCACTCACTAAAAAGTCTTCAATGACCTCAAGAGGCATTACATCAGATACTCCTAACAAGCATTTTATAGGAGGAGAAGCTCCATAGGAGCAAAGGGTCAGATTTATAGATTTAAAGCTGTTAGACACTTCTATGTGAAGGTCCCAGTTTTACCTCTGCAACGTTTCCAAACTTGACTATGTAATTTGAAGCAGAACTGTTATGAGCCTAGTGATAAACACAAAGCTTTCAGCATCTTTAAAGTGCTCCAAATAGTTCCACATTTTGTGTGGAGGGATAAGCAACAAGACTGTAAGTACAAGTTAAAGAAGATAGAGAAAACAAGCAAACAAAGAAAAAAAACAGGCTGAAATACACGACTAAAACACACCCTTCTCCAAAACCTCAATTACAACAAATTTCCCTGCCTGTTCACTTCTCCCATGTTAATAAGTAGCTGCAAGATAGAGTGATATCAGCTGACACAGGGTGAAATGACAATGGTAGAGAGTGACAACCTAGTATTCCCACATATTACTCTTTTTGCTCAAATAGCACAGGCCTAGTGAGTGTTGCTGATTAAACTTTATAGCATATATACAGGAATAGCATATACCTAGGAATGATTAATTATATAATACATGTAGCTTGTCAAATACCTTCAATTCCCTGCCTAATTCTGAATCAAAAATAATGACACTTCCTCTCCATTTTATTATCAAAAAATCACCATTTAAGGAAACCATGTCTGAAAGAAATCAAAACTTTTGTGAGAATGATAATTTTTTTAGCAGCATCAAACAAGTTTGCATTTTAGGAAATGCTCATTCCTTGAGCTCACAGGATGGGGGACAAATGCAGTTGGAGGCTGGTTATTTTCCAGTCATTTCATTAAAAGGTCAAAGAATAACACACCTCTAAGTTATGATTTCTGTTGCAGAGGAAGAGGCCTCATAGGACTTGTTTTCCGTATCTTAACCAAAAAAAAGCCAAAACAAACCCAAACAAAACCCCAGCACACATCTGGTTGTTGAAAAAGATACTAAAATTCTCTAATTTTCCTATATCTTAACCAAAAAAAAAAGCCAAAACAAACCCCAACAAAACCCCAGCACACATCTGCTTGTTGAAAAAGATACTAAAATTCTCTAGGGATTCTGTAAAATGAGAATGGTAGGAAAAGAATTTGAAAAAGAGTAATTTCTCATGTATCTGAACCAAGGTGGCCTGAAGAACATAGTAATTAAGTACAGATACTAATAAGTGCTTCCTGTGGAGCTTACTCCTAAAACATGTCTTATTTCTACCATCAGGACTAGAAAACAAAAAGCCAAAACAAAACACAAAAATCCAACAGTTGTGTAAGAATGAATTTAAATAAACAGTGTACTGCAAGAATATGTGGAATCTCTATCAAAGGTCAGGCCAGATGACTTCCAGAGATGCCTTCTAACCTGAGTTATCCTATGAGTTGCAAGATCACAGTTAATTGTGGTCCTGTATACCCTCAATTAAATAAAGAAAATGAGACCTGTTACTCACAGAAGTGGAAGCTGAACTGTAAACAATAGAATAAGATTAAAGCATAAAACCAATCTCTGGAAAACACTGTAACGAGGACTAACGTGATAAACCTAAGTGCTTGTCATGGGCGTCTTATTTTCCAAAGTATTTTTGTCACTTGTGACATGTCACCAACTAACTAACCAGGAAGAAAAGTCATTTAATACAGGCATATTCAAATCATATTTCACAAGCAGGAACAAGACATACTTTTCCCTCTCTCTAAGAAGCTGCTTAAGGGAAATGGTGGAAGCATTTCAAGATGCACAAGACATTTCACCCATCACTGAAGGGCTGTGAATGAAGTGTTGTAAAACAGAATAATACAAAATGCCAAATCCACAAAGCAATGTGGTTTAAGTAATACAGACACAGGTAAAAGGAGGCAGATTAGGTTACAGAATGAACATAGAAGTGTTAAATAAAGTATAGCCAAATTCTCATCCCCAATTTCCCTAC